TAAATATAAACAATCAGTCTAAAAATGTATGCATACAGTATATTCGTAAAAGCTTATAGCTAAAACGATTTTTAATACTGTTTATTTAAAATCATTTCGTTATTCTGCCTTCGTATTTAAAGTACTTACCATAGTTTTTAAGGTTGCTATGCCGTGGATTATGTACCTGGTTGCCGGCAGTTACAGACTTGATGTTCTTGGACTAGGTTCTGTGGGGGCGGATTCGCTGTCAGAATCCTATGCCTGCCCTGTTATTGTTTTCGATTACTATTACTGGTTATAAGGACTATAAGGCCATTACGGACGGAACCTCTCCTCAGGTGGTTCTCTAAGACGTTCCATAATGGCTTCTGTAATTGGTCTCATCGATATTTAAAAAACGTTTCGGCGTTCTTGTCTGATATCACTTCAGTGGTAACACTGCTTCACCGAGAGTGCTCAGCGGGTCCACCTCAACAGAAGCTAGCCCAAGAACAACAACGTAGGTCAAAGATTATAAGATTAAAGAAGTGCAATAAAATTTTGTAACTGCCGGCAATCAAGTACGTAGATCATGGCATAACAACAACTGTGAAAGACTTAAAACCACATGTCTTCTTATTATTCGTAAAACGTTGTAGTTTCCGATTTAAAAAAAATGAGAGCAATTACTCCAATAGAGAAATTACATACTAAACGTTTCTTTAAATGGATGAATGTACACCGATACTTTGAAAGTCTGAACAGTAGTATTACACAAGACGTTGCTTTGGTGCAATATTTTACATTATTTTATATACCTACAACGAATATTTTAAAAATTCCTTTATTGGTGACCTATTTTACATGCAACAATTAGCTGAGTCAATCGGCGTAATATTATCTAAATAATTATATCTGACTACAACACAATGGTAAGCTTACCTCAGCGATCAACGTAGGTGTATTTAAGTTTCATAAAATGTATCTTATAAGGTATTTCCTTTCTCCTATTAAAAATTTTTGTTTTCTACATTAGTAATTTGACATACATTTTATGTGTCTTGCAGATAATAATCACAAATAAACACCCAAAAAAAATTGCAATTTACTTGAACTGGAATGCTATACAAAATATCAATCAGTTTCTTTTTGTTTTTTATTTAATGATGATAAAACAAACAAATTTTGATCATTTCTAAAAATTTCTGCTTAACTCGCAGTTTTCATGGATACTTCCATACCTTTTCATCATGTTCATTAATTCATTGCTACTGTATTCATGGGCCAGTCTGTTTTTTCGTACTTATTAATACAAACGTAACACTGTTTTCACAAAAAGAAAATACCGTTAAAATGAGGACCTAGAAAAGTAAGTAACTTCACTTAAATACTTGTTCACTAATAATTTTCACAATAAAAAACTCACGCCCGGTAATAGAAATTAAATTAGAACTAATAATTACCTGAAACTAAACTTGTCATTTTTCTCTTTCCTACACAAAAACGGAACATTTACGGCCATAAATATGTTTCTCTTTTTATGTAGTATGCAACTTGGGCATGATTCCAGGGGTTGTCAATAAGTTTTAACGGTTTTGATTATTACTAATTTTAAGCGCCGCGCCGTTTTGCAATTTCAATATTTTTGACTATTTAAAATGCTTATGCATTCTGCATAAAAATCCATTATTAAATCTTCTACAAGTCTATATGTTGTGTAAATATAGTAAAACTATAAAACTATAATGCAGTTTTAAAATTAATTTAAGCTATAATCTATTTCAAATTAAACCATCAATTAGTCATTAAAGGTGTATTCAAACTTAATCCTGCATAGTTATGAGTCTATAGTTTAATTGCATCTATATCTAATAAGGCATTCTATCCGACAATGACCATCTAGCAATATATAATGGCATTTTGATTGTCCATTAACCTACATTATTCCTGAAATATACGAGATATTAAATATCACACTGCAGTATATCAGATTACGCATAGACTTGCGTTATTTAATTCATAAGAAATGCATACAAAGTGGCAAGTCTTAAGCAACGGTGCGATTCATTGATAGGTAGGTATTCAATGCAGCATAGTGTCTGCTTTAAACTGTTTTTAATTGACTGGGTTCGTCAATTTCTATGTCGCAAAGTGATTATCTTTTATAATTGTCATAATTGCACGAATTTGAGAAATACTACTTAATGACATTCAAATTAGGAAGTGAACATTTTGTGTGCCTTAAAAGTTGTTCCTAAACATATGCGAAAAATATTAAAAAATTTGCTTACGACGAATTGATTTTATTTACTGAAGATTTCATTTCTACTATTAGACACACAAAAGATTGGATAACGCTTTTAATTAACAGTTAAATAAACAAAGTTGCATCTACATTAACCAGTCTAAGGTGAAGTATAATACATCTTTACTCCAAAATCTAAATGTAATTAGATTTATAGATATGTAACTTTCAAAATATTCAAAATATTACCAAATATTACATTTTTCTTTCTTCATCTGTTCTGTTTTTCCTGCTTATATGTACAAAAGACATTATATGTACAGTGTATATCTTTATTTAAACCTTGTCCTACGACATATTATTATATCTTAGATATGAAAACAAACTCAGATTATGTCCTTATACGAAAGGCGAGATTGAAGGAACTTCATATCAGACTTATTCCAAAGTCAAAAGCGGAAAACGGATTTCGAAATGATAGATTATCTAGTAACAACCTCTTTGAAATCAAATTGATTACAGAAAAACGAGTTTTTTAACTTGCAAACTCATGTTTTGTTAAAGAAAAGGTTAAGACATGATTTAAACGTGTAAGTTCATTGAAATAAAAATACTTTTGACCAATTAACTTACTCAAAGGATACGTCACGTCATTTTAATTCCAAAGGATTCAATATAATATGCAAAAGTGATGATGTAGAAAATGTGGTACATAAATATTTCTACACATGCAAGAAATAAAACTATAAGATCAGTAGCTTACTAAAATTCTAACTATTTATATAAAACCCGCGTTGCTATATGGATACCTAAACTGGGCACCGTCACAAAACTGCAAGTCGAGGATCCAAATTTTTGTATACAGGGTTGAATAGATTTTAACTAGTGAATTGTAAAAAACAACTACTCTGATGTGGATAATCCTCGTCTAGCATTGAATTGCACATAATAATTTGTAATAAATATAATCTTTTCGTTGTTAGTGGCAAACAAAAAAGCTTACTGTAGTTTGTAATGGACAAATAAGTACTTATCGTATATCACATATACCTCATATCGTACGAGTACCTAACATCTTGCAATCCTTAGAAAATTAGCTATAAACGATGTTTGTAAAAAAATGAATAAATAGTTCTTATATTTAATTGGTATCTTCCTTAGTTTTAAAATGTGATTACAAACACTTTGTATTTGTTATTCTCTCTTCTTGTATTTCTTATTTTATATTCATAACAATAAAATTGTACTTAATTTCACTTTGGTAGATTAGAACTAAAGCATCTTGGATAGGTACACAAATAATTTAGAACAGAACAATAATTGTAATAAAATATGTATTGTTTCTTTTATCTCATATAAACTGATCATTAAGAAAACTAGAGCATGCCCCAGTCATTTCAATTATTAACAACGCAGACCCACAAAAATAGTTCTGTACTAGAGACATGAGTACAGGACCTTGTGTACTTTTTGATGCTGAATCCGAATCCACAACCCAACAACCGATTTACCAGGGCATTTTTTTAGTAAAACGCTAAGATATCCCCAAAAATAGGGTGAAATTATGAGGATAAAGTAAAACTATATAATGAAATGAAACATTTTGTAAATACTTTGAGAAAAACATTTAAACTAATATTTTGTCATTGAAAAGAAACATATGCAAATTAAATCCACACCCCTACAAGGGGTCAGCGATAATCTTCGAATTTTGAAGGCTTATCCGACTTTTACATCCGCCATATTGCATCCGCCGTCTTTTATTCAGGTATTTTCGGAGTCGGACTTCAGATTCGTAATCAGCGACCCCAAAAACTCGCGGTAACAAAATTCAGGCAAAGATATTGAATAGAAAAATGTATGACTTAAAGGGGTAAGTAACCCTTTGAGGGAGAATTATGTTATAATTTTTTAGTATGTTGTCTTTCATATTTGTATATTTGGTAGGTACTATAAAATACAAGGCCCCTCGTAAGGGTGGGTGTGGATTTAATTTGCGTATATTTCTTTCCAATGCTCAAAATATTGTTTTCAAATGTTCACAAAGTGTTTAGAAATCGTTGCTTTTCATTATCCTCACTGTTTCACCATATTTTAGGAGATATATTAGTGTTTTACTAAAAAAATGCGCTGGTAGATCGGTTTTGGGTTGCGTATTCGGATTCAGCATCAAAAAATATACCAAGATCTATCTACTCATGTTTCTAGTACAGAACCTCTTTTTTTGTGGGGTTGTGCAATTCATTTTGGAGATAATCTATACTGGAAATATTTTGGGCTAAAACTCATGATGGATTGCCAACAATGGACTTAGGTACTAATATCAAACATCTTATATTTTGGTTACCGTTATAATATAATTAATTGTTATTGATGGAACGACTTTATTGATTTAATAGTTCAGAAATATTAAAAATTGCGACACAATGGAAAGTTACAAAACCGACGTGCGGACGGAATGCAATGTAGGTAACTTGGGTTGGCACGAGTCGGGTCATAGCGTCTCTACATCTGTCCACCCATATGACACACCCAAGCAAATGTTACTGAAAAACTGCATAGAACCTCCCATTTCTCGATTGAATCCGCATCGTGAAAATTGTGATTCAAGATCGACCTTGCTACCAATTTGCGAGAACTTTCAATCGCATACGCATTTTTTATCCTGGAAACCGAGCTTGGCTAACGTGATTTTTTTCGAACTTATGGTAGTGAACGTTTAGCTCATAGGGTAATCGTTTGTATAAAAGATCTGGTCGTCTGGATGGTAGTCCAGTGTAGTTTAATACTTAGTTGCAGCACAGTGTAATTGCATAATGTACACTAAGGTAGGGTTACTTGTACTTTATTGTATAATCAGTCGAATTAACGCCCACTTGAAATAATTTCCTTTGTAGTACTTTTTTCTACAAAATTTGTTTTAGAATTATTAGAAAATGTGGATCAAAGGGGTTTTTTCATCTACTTCCAAAATATAACAAAAATTGGGCAGTTAAAATAATTTTCATTTTGCTGAAAACAAAAAATCAACAAAATTTCACAAAAATTGTTCAACCAGTGATAGCAAAGTTTATCTTTGGAAATAGTGAAGGAACACATAATAAAGATTTTGATGTTCTTTTATGTACCAGTCTCTTTATAGCAGGTGAAAATGTTATTGTTAGGTACAGTGTGGTTTTTTGTTATTTCAAATAATTGTAATAATGTCAAAAAATTATTATTTATTAAAATAGTTCATTGTAGACTCTTGTTGTTATTCCATCAATCTCTTTTATCGTAAAATAAATGTTCCAAAGTGAATTTCAAAATCAATTTTCATCAAGCTAGCTACAGTCCGTATCAAGCTAGGTACAGTCCGTACGATATTTGTTTTGGAATTAACTGCATTCGACACCCGAGGTAGAAAGACATTGGCGGCGTGGCGTTCATCGTAACAGCTTGCAGCGCATACGCATGTATTTTGCAATTTCTTCGGTTTATTTCTTGGAATTCTATCTCAACAAATATCGTACGGACTGTACCTTTTTTAAAACCTAAAAATTAAGAACAATTTATTTAAATGAGAACTAAGAAACTTCATACAGTTTCTAAACGCACTATAAGTAATTTAACCACTGCCATATTTAATTTTCCAAATTTTTTATCCATAATTTGCTCTCCGTGATACCAAAATATATACGTGTGATAAGCCAATCCATTTGAACCGTTCTTAATATCAATAAATAAATCTTTAATTGTGTATCACTAATTTCTAATTAAACCTTGATCTATGTAATTAAATAAGAAAGCTCAGCTCCTGCGGCGTAAAACTAAACATTAATAAGTATGTTTACTAATTAAGTAATTTATTTATTTTGTCATAAATACTAGTGTAAGCGTCAATATTCATTCATGATATAAGGTATAATAAAAATAATAAGAACCGTTTACTATTACGTTGCGTCGTAATCACAAACAAAGTAGTAATGTTGCATAGATAATTATTCTGAATATAAATGAATAGTATCTCTGTTGTCAATTTGATTTGATTTTATATTTGGAAAATTTTCACCAAGCACTAGCTGAAAATTATTTAATGAACCATATTTTTTTACGTAAACAGTGTGTCTTTCTACTTTTGCAGCTCAATTGCAACTAATAAATACAAAATTCCTTCATAGACAAAAACAATTCACTAAAAGTAGTAATTAATTAATGACATAAAGTCCATAATATGCTTTTTGAGGTATCACCATTTCTATTATTAATACTCCAATGTGAACTGAAATTAAAGTAAATATAAATATTTTTTAACAACGAAAAGGGATGTTACTCTTTGGGAGTGATAGCTTGTTTCTTGCAAATTTTTCTTCTATTAGAAAAGCATAAGTATGTACCTATTTTTTTTAGACTTCATCATCTGACAAGTGATAAAATGAGAGTCCTTAATAAACATCATCTCTTCTTTGTGAGTGTCAAGCAAAACAAGCTTATTTTGGATAGTGACGATAGAAAACATAATTATCGAATAATATGTTTCTAATATCATAAGAGACTGTGGTTTTGTCAATATTTCTTTTTGTGTTTCTATGTTTACTATATAGGTAGATACTATAATTTGTTTTTTTACTTGATTAAATTTTTCTTCTTCTCACTAAAACATATCTACTAATAAAATCGACTATAGAGTCCCCGTACTCAGAGAGTAACACAAAAAATTCATTTTTGTTTCAAAAAATGGCATTAAAGTGATAAAACAGTATATCTCCTTAAAAAAATTGTGTCAATTTATGATATTTTCATAGACGATAAACATTAAAAACTAGCAAAACTAATGCTTTGAAAACTAATGTAATTCAACGATCGTCATGTGGTTTCAATATCGGGACTCTAACAAATACGTGGCTTATACCAGAAACCAAATTTTAATAAACTCGAGTTTTGTTAGTAGAATAAAACTGTGATTTGTGTAAATTGTGATAAAATTAAACGATTTCAATTATGCACAAGCCGCTATTAGGAGATACACTTATTTCTCTTCTTCTGTTACAGATTATAGCCATTGCTACTCTAGTAGCTTCTACCCAAGCTGGATTACTAGGTGTCCCTGCAATATCAGGTCATGGTTTAGCTCTCGGGCCTGCTGCCATAGCCGCCCCCGCTTACGCCACTCACGCCATTGCTGCCCCGGCTTACACCACTCACGCCATTTCTGCCCCCGCCTACGCCGGCCCTGCCATAGCCGCCCCCGCGTTTTTGAAAGCGCCAATTGCTACACCAGCTTATGTGAAAGCAGCGCCCTCTGTAGACTATGTAGTAAGTAGACGGTTTAATAGAAGTCGGGGATCTTTTGGTGCATATAAACCATTTTTTGTGCTAATTAATTTTTATTGATGTGTAAGCCCAACAAATGTGGGTCGTAAACGATTTTATACTGGGTGAACAACCTTCATTTTCTTTCATTTTTGTAGATAAAGAAGTCATTACTAAATATTGTACCTACCAGTTGTATAGAAATATTTCAGTAAGATAGCTTTAGAGATAAGTTAGATTACACTCGTAATATATAACTTTTACTTCAATGGCTTTAACAACTCTATGCCTTTATATATTCTGCATAGGTATTTGAATAATAAGTATTTCAAAAATTCACATATTCCTTCTTTCAAGTTTCTTACATTTGTATTAATATATGTTGTAACGAATTAAGTAATACTAAAAAAATGCTCATAACAATTTAACTTAAAATTGATTCTCATACTTATGCTTAAGACTCTCAGTTCCACCAACATCTGCTGTAATAAGCTGTTAATAAGTGTTCTAAAATAAGCTTCTGCTTCTAGTTTACTAAGTGATGTAATCAATGATTTGGCCAAACTTTCGTAGATATCGGTAAGGCTAGTAAGACTAAAACGACGAATTGTTTTCAGTTAGGAACGTTTCATATTATGTCCCATGCACTGGTTAATCAAATCTTAAATAAAATGTTCTTGAACATATTAAACGAGAGACTTCAACGATCGTCAAAGCGCTAAACCCGTAAATCGCTTATAATTCAATATTTGCTTGATAAATATAAATGTGGTCGATACAAAATTCTTTTAGCACAAAAGTTAGTTAGTGCTCTCAATTTTAATAAAAAATATATACATTGGAGTATTCGACACTTTTTTTCTGTGGAGACTTCAATAGCCGATTAAGCGACTAAACTTTGGGGTCCACAGCCTAAAAGTTGTAAGAAAACATTCCAAAAAATTCTCTAAGCGTATGTTAGTTAGCTTAAGAGTTAAATATTTGTTTAAACTACTTGACATTATTCATTCAACAAAGAGTATTTGGTACTATTTTGCACATTTCCAAAATACTTTCGCCTAGTTTTATTAGAAACGGGTGAAGTAAGAAGTCTATTGTAAGTCGATATTTGCTTGTTTGATGTAGGTAAACACGGTCAACAGAAAACATTTTTGGAGTAAAAGTTAGTCAGTTCCTCTCAATTATAACAAAAAATTTGTACATTGAAGTCTACTACAGGTAACAACTCCGTTTTTTGCTTGTAGAGACTTCAATAGCCGCTAAAACGACTAAACTTTGGGGTCTACTTTTAGCCTAAAAATATGACAAGTTGTAAGAAAACGATTCAAAGAATTCTCTTGGCGTATGTTAGCTGGCTTAAGGGTTAAATATTTAGTAGTAGTATTTATTAGTTTACAAAAAACATGACTCGTGTACCTATAAAGTTTCATCAATGTAGCTTTATTATTGAGTCAAATTAATTACCTACTTTTATTGCTAATTATATAACAATTAGTGTATACTTAAATGCGTAATTGATTAACGTAAAATTATTTCAATTAAACGCATTGTTAAAATTACTGCCACATAACAACATTAACATCTAACAATTGTAATTCTAACAATTAAGTAGAAACATATCCTCTAAATACTACATATCACAAAACAAAACAAACAGTTGGCCTTGATAAGTGGCATTGGCAGTCAAGCGATGAAGGCAGTGTACTTGACTTGAGATGGATAATCTTCATCGTCTTCTCTTTCACTGTCAAGGATTACTTGACGGGTTTTGTGTTAGCAATCAATAAAATCACATCAGTTGCGTACCATCTGCTTCTGTGTCATTAATTTAAAACCGGTAACCAAGAGTCAATGAGACCTAGATTTCTACATGGGTGTTATATCATTTCTGCCCCAGTTTCGTATTTTTCCTGTTCTGTCTGCACGTCCAATGAAATGTTTTTATTAATTAAAACAGGATTTTGCACAAAATAGCCTCGTTCTATATAGAATGTCGATTTCATTTGCAATAGTCTTGTATTGACCACTTTTGCTTAGAGAATAATAATTTTTCTTTTAATACTTAAATTCTTGAATGTTTTCAGATTATAATCTATTCTTCGGTAAAATAACATAGCATTAATTTCAAAAATTTCTTGAAAATACAAATATACAAGAACTACTACAGGTATAGAGATAATTATATACAAATTAAACAAATTATTACAAAAATTACTTACAGTGATATAGCTTTGCAAAATTGTGACAGCAGGAACGTTATCGTGATTAGTTTTCAGTCGTCAGCATTTTTTTATCATGTTGATTATGTAGGTATATTTTGTTTTTGTAATATTAAATTTACTAGAAGTTATCACAATTTAAACACTTGAGAATATATACAAATTATTATGAAAAATGGGTAGATACTTAACCCATTCTTTAAATTATTACCTACTCAGGTAATGCTGGTTATTTTAGATCGGTTTAGTTTCATCAAACATTTTTATGAAATAGGAAATTGAGGCAATGAAAGTAGGTATTGTACCAATATTGACTCGTTTTTTTATATAAAACTCTCTCGGTAAAATTATAAACAGAACGAATAAATTCCTCTTTAAAAGTCAAAAAAGCAAAATTGGATTCTTCTATGTATATTATATCCTTATTACTCTTTTTTTAATAGCATAGCCGAGATAATTTTTGTATAATATATATTTTTAATTGATTTCAAATTCGATATTACGGAATAAAAGGATATGCAATGGCATATAAATTTCCCCTTTCTATATATTGACTAAAATCTATTTAAAATTGATTAGTTGATGAGGATGAACACATAATAATTACTTACTAAAACCAACATAAATACCAGGTGTCCTATTTTAATGAAAACAGCTCAATACTTCGAAAATTATCAGTTATATATAAAAATAATAAACATATTCATTAGAGGAACAAAGTATTGTGTACATAGACATCAGTTTGGTGGGCTGAATTTAATTGTAAGTGTACCTACTTGTAGTTTAATGTCCTGTGATTTTTATTAATTTTTGTTCTTCAACACTGTAATCCAAAAGATTAGCTTGCAGTGCTCTATTGGAATGATTCGTTATTTTATATTTCGTAGTATCTAGTCAAACTTTTTTCAGAATGTGTCGTCACTTAGAAATTTAATTTGTGTCCGTAGGACAATTTTTATACCAAGCCATATTTCATAATCCGTTGGCTATTAGAACAAGTCTATTTGTAGTTGTGTTATCTGTTCTTATAGAAATTAATTTTCGATAAAACCTTATAAGACATACCTTCATGGCTTTGTTTTGCACTATCGACTTTCTTTACCTGCCTTTATCATCAAGTTCAAAGTATTTTAGCTTACAACTTGTTGCTTCTCCACTTCTCTATGTGAATCCAACTGCAACAGTTTTGTAAATTTTTTTGTTGTAGTCTAAAAGGAGTACATTCATCAAGTAAATACTTACAGTTTAGTATTCTTTAAGAGTAATTGCTTTGTAACTTTTCTTATACTTACTCCGGTCTCTTTGTAATAATTTACGTTTTGTATTTATTGCCTGACAAAAAATGACTTCTTTTAACCAATTATTGGGTTTATTATAATACTCCATTTAGTTTGATAAAAGTTTTTTCATAATCCGTTTTTTTTTTCATATTAAATGCGTAATCTATCACAGGATATTCCTCAGATTTTGTTTCATCTAAGACATACTTTTTTCATCATAAAACTCAAAGAATTGTTTACAAATTGATTTTTGAGTCTTTTTTTATCATTAGAAGCCGGATTTTCAATTTTTCCATCAAACTGATAACAGTTTCAGTGCTTCCAAAACATTGCTTCTTAAAAATGAAAATAGTAGAAGAAAAACATCCCGTTCACAACCATATGACCGGTTGTATGATAGTAAACAGGTCATAACACATACATGAAGTCATGACCTCGGCGAATGTTAAATAATTCACAATTTACTGTCAAAAATTGTATATAATATCTAAAATTATTATTTTAAATTCGTTCAATAATTTAAAGGAAGTTTCACCGCTGTAAAATTTTAGCAAACGCTAGGTGAAATACGGCGCTGATTGGTCGAAATTAAAATTCTGCTAATTGCAATTGGATACTAACATATGCGAGGAAATAATCGAAGATATTGAGGTGTTTCCATCAGAATAGTAATTTCCATCAATAAGCATAACAACCTACCTTCCCTAATAGAAATTGCTTATAATTTTGAAACACGCATGAAATGCAATATATATAATTTCCTTTCAGGCCTATCCCAAATACCAGTTCAACTACGGAGTATCCGACGGCCACACAGGAGACCAGAAGACTCAAACCGAAATCCGAGACGGAGATGTCGTCAAAGGCTCCTACTCGTTGGTGGAAGCAGACGGTACTGTGCGTACAGTTTCCTACACAGCGGACGATCATAACGGCTTTAACGCTGTAGTCACGAGGTCCGGCCATGCCGCACATCCCGCAACAGCAATTGCAGTAGCTCCCAAGGTCGTCGCCGCTCCTGCTTATGCACACGCCACCATTGCTGCCCCCGCGATCGCCGCCCCTGCATATGGATTGGGTAAGTCGCCCACTCACAGCGACAGTTTAGTTGCAATTAAGATTGGGTACTGATCAAATTTCTCTCAGAAATATCTAATTCCATCAAGGATTCCTAAAAAACCCATGTAATAGAAAATATATACATAGAACAAAAAATTCACTCAATTTTACTCAATAATCAATTTCTGTCCGCACTTGGTTGAGTGAAAAATTTACTCTATTAATATGAGTACAACTAAAATTTTATGAGTCAAAGTATGGCAACAGGGGTGAATTTTGCTCAAATTCGAGTTTCTGTTACGAAGTGATTGACTTTTGACTCTATTCTGAGTATGTAAAGGCAATAAAAAGTTGAGTTTTTCTCTAAATTTAACTATCATTGAATCATTTTTTATCAGACTCGGTTTATATTCTCTTTAAATTTTAATTTAAATATCATTGTATTAAAGTCATGAACTACTTTAGCTGGTAAGTGGTTTCTACACCATATCTGTTTTAGAGACAATATTTTAGGTCTCAATTAAAAGAATAAGTTGAGTGATCGGTCGAATAGATTACCATAACCTATATTGTACGTTACAGCTACGTAAGTACATATAGGTAACAATCTAACTATCCAGTTTCTGTAACCAAATATTAATCAAGAATATTATTGTTTTAATTATTGTAATCAAACCACTACATTTAAACACAAATGTCACCAAAATAACCGGAAAAACGGATTCCCTCATTTGTTATTTGTAGGTATAGTTTGCTGGTTACCCAATGTTACTCAATTTAGTTATTTGTTGGCTACAGCAGCATTTAGTTACTAAACCAAAAAGAAAAACATTTTTTTAAGCCGCTCTTTAAAAGCAATTTATGAATTTGTATCAAAAGTGCAAAATTCTCAAAAGTCTAATCCCGTTAACTGGGGTTCTGTATTAATTATCAACTATTTTGTTTTGACTACCTACTCATTTTTTATCCACTGTATCAGAGTAAAAAACCTTTAATAAAGTCCTGTATCATAGAAACACCACTACTAATCTTGCACATTTACTGTTCTTTAATTTTGATGAAACCATTCTTCCATAAAACTTTAATTAGTCGCAATTTTTTAAAGTAAATACACTATTGTTTTTGCAGGTCATGGCTTGGGTCTAGGACTTCTAAAAGGATAAATCTTTCCGTGATCTAAGAATACGTTGCCGACTGTGCTACAATTAGGTAAATCAAACGTCAGACCATTCCACTTTTGCTTGCTCTAATTGTGTTACACTGAACGACTTTTTGCTTTACATTAAAGGAAAAACTTGAACAGTGTAAAACGTATCAAAACTCTGGTTGCAATTTTAATCAAATCACTTAATTCTTATTTATTATTATTAACTATTGTTCTGAAAAGTGATTTTTTTAAACGTGCAGTGGATTTGACCGCTATGCCAAATGATTGTTTTTGATATTTTGTTCTTGGTGTCTACCTTCGTGCTTATACTATTGTGTTACTATGTAAATATCATATCTAGTAGTATGTATCTCGCAGTATTGTTCTCATTTTTATATCTATCATAAGAAATATACCATTGTATTCATCATGACCCAATGTTTCATTTACCTACTGTAGAACTTTAATACCTTTCAGTAAATTGCCACTGAAGAGATCGTTTTGTACAGCAAACAATATTCAGAAAAAATAATAAATAATATAAAATTAGTTATTTCGTATCATATGTTACCATATTGAACTTTGAGGATAATACAATGTAGAAAAATCACTCAAATTCACTAAATTTTTCTCAATAATGTATCTCCACACCTGATTAAGTAAAATTATCGCTCTATTAGTATGAGTACAACTAAAATTTTAGTAAAACTATTGCAACTGAAGTGAGTGAATTTTACTCAAATCCGAATTTCCGCTAACTATCAACTGAGTGACTTTTGACTTTATTCTGAGTATGTAAAACAAATGAATAGTTGATTTTTTCTCTAATAATTATTATTAAGTAATTTTGTACTATGAAAATTTCCCAGGGGCTCAGAGCCCTCTAACACCAGCCTCCGCTGCTTCTAACTGATCGGATTAATAGATTGCCATAACCTATATTGTACGTTACAGATACGTAAGTAAGTATAGGTAATAATATAAGTAAGTATCTGTTTATTTAACCAAATGCTAATCGAGACTCAATATATTTTTGTTTTTAATTATTGTAATTAAACCACTGCATTTAAACATTAATTTTCACCAAAATAACCGGATTAACGAACACTTGTCCACCACTACACGCCATATACCAAGCCACAAAATGATCTATCTAATGGAGAGGATGGGAATAGACAAGGACAACGCACGACAATCATAGAATGGGGTGGGGTTACTCAAGAATTGGGGCATTTACTCCGATTTAGCTACAAGTGTACCAAATACGAGTTTATCTGCAGAAGTACTCAGTTTTAGTTCAAATATTATCAGAAATGAAAATTATCAAAATGCTCAATATTGAGTGAAAATGTGCTCAATAATTTCACTCAATGGATTCCGTACCTTTATTGCTTTCAGGAATTATTTTTCCAATGTTACTAAAAGTTGTCTCATTCATTACTAGAATAATTTCGGTGAAATTTGAACAACATAATCGAGCTGCTGAATGGAATCATCTAGGAAAACTCTCAGCATACAACTGCAATGCTACGGTAGTGTTTTGATTACTCACCCCCTATAAAATATCATATCAATTATTTCATTACCGTGGGCATGAGTTACCTATATGAAATAAAAAAAAGGGAACCAGTTACTATGCTATGATAATGTAATTAAGTCCTAAATGTTTTATTGGACAGTTCTTAGTAAAAGAATTGAGTATTATAAATTTTTTAACAGAGAAACATTTCAGATGGCTTTTCCATCATTTTTTATATTTTCAGAAAGTGTTATTTGAAAAATTTGCTTACTTTGAGTTGTATGGGATGAAATGAGAATTTAAACTTAAAAATCAACGTAGGTACATGTTTAACTAGATGTTTAACGAATAGAAATGTTTCAATTTATCATATGAATGTTAAAGCCCTAAAAAGAAAAGTAGGTGGTGTTTTAAAATATTGCTGTACCTATCAAGGAGAAACTCAAAAAAATAAACCAATACCCGTAGTTTACCATATGCTGTCAACCGAGTAAAAGTGTGACATTTATTGCAAACAACTAAATCAAAACAAGACATTCTATCTCCCTTTTATTATGAACGTGTCTAATTACATTATACGAAAATATCCAGATTTAATTCTCATTTATCGAAATAAATTTCAAAGCGACGCAACTTTCCTTTGGAAGTACCCTAGTACCTATCTTTTTTTTAGAAAACTGGAATATAAACTTGTCTCAAAAATATACACACAAAATTATATTAATTAGAAAAATATTAATCTGAGTATATAAAATTATCTAATGAAATAAAGACAACGTTCCATTTTAAGTACAATTTTGTAATATTAATTTATAGTCGGCAATTATATATATCCACTATTTCATCAACATCCGTTACTTTTAGTTTAAAGGTTACACCAAAGCTATTAATATAGTCATAATTATACTTCAATAATTTGCGTTTACTCTGATTTTATGCACAACTTGTTTTAATTTTGCTTCAATAAATAAACAATCTGCAAATCTTGTAATTTTATTACGGTTATTAAATACAAGTAATATAGCCTGAAAATTTGATAAAGTAAACAATATATTCTTTAGTTCAGATCATCATTATCATGGTCATCGTCACCATTATCATAATCAGCATCATCATTGCTTTGTTATCTCATGATCACCACCACCACCACCAACAAAAACAGCACCATTTTTATTAAGGAACAAAACAAAAAGTGACTTGAAATTAAACAGGGCAAACAGTTTCGCAAGTTGTTGTTGCTAAATCGCATTAAAACATTCACGTTCAGACTTTAACACGTCAAGTGCAATTTTATGAACTACAAAATAACTAATAAAAATGCACTAACACACATTACTAAGGTATTAACTAGATTATCAGCATGCTCATAAAATGAAGAAAGCATTTAATTCTATAATTTCAAGCGTAATGCAATTAATTTTTGCAATCAAACCGTATGATCTGTCAAAGCTAACTAGAAAATGTTATGTAATTCAATGGATCATATATTAAACTGGAATAATGTCACTTTCATTAAAGGCGTTAATTTTATGCATGGGCAATTCCATAGGTCGCTGCGATGTCGATTCACCCATAAATATTCAAAGATAAGTTTATAGTCATCCGGTAGAGAGAATTTCGTGTACATGAAAATGAATCATTTTGGGATAGTCGAATTCTTTCAGCCTACTTCTGTGTGTTTCAAGATAGCTTAACATAAATAGAATTAGGTTCGTAAGAATTCCAAAAGAATAGTTATTTATTATACCAGATAATAAAATAATATTTTATCGACCAATAAATTAATTTCACGAGTCGACAATATATTTTATCGCCGTGTATAATACTTTATTTTCTTTTATAGCTAATTTTTTATAGCAAATTTTAAATGAAATCTCAGCGAGTAGTTGAGGTTACTAGGGTAAATGCATGGCAATGGAAAAAATAATCTACTATCTAATATATCTTCTACTTTGTGTTTGTTCTGCACAAATTAAAAGTAAAAATGTGCGAAGACGAATTGAATAAGAAAAACTTCCCTCAAACGTGAATTTACGAAAAAGAATATAAGTACTTTCAAAAGAGGAAAAAAATATCAATGTAAATCAAAAGGTACTTCTGGCATCCTTTTTGGAAAAGGTAAAGAAGACAACGCCGTCAACATTATGGCCCTATTAGTCAACTTTGTAGGTAAATAAAAATTGTGGATTTCATACTACATCCGCAGACAATATAGCTTATCCCTATTTTGTTTGTGCTACATCTGACAAGTCCACTTCATCAAATAACGCTTCATAATGTTTTCAGATACATCAAATTGATTACATTGCTATAGAAATTAACTGACTGTTACACCGGTCTTGGACCCGGATGA